ACAAACCCGAAACACTGTTCACGGTCGAAAATGGGCCTTCTTTTTTTTTTATCGGTTTGGATTGGAGTTAATATTTTCAACCCGAATCCGTCCGAACCCGACCCGTGCTCAGGCCTAGTTTTTATATTCTAACGGAGGTTGTTTTGCAGGTATCGGAAGGCGAGGAATCAAATCCTAAAGTTGTGCATAAAGAAGAAGAAGAGAGCCAAGGGGAGCAACCAGGATCTCAAGAAGGGTAAGAGAAACAACCGTGGTGGCTAGCTCGTGTTGTGATCTTGTCACTTGCATGCATGCACATAGCGTTGGTTCCATCTGATGCATTTTAGTACTTGTGCTTTTGATTGTATGTTTGCATATGTGTTTCCTTGAGAGTGTGAATAGCGAGTGTTAGGGGTGAGCATAAAACCGAGACCCGAACCGAACCTGAAAAACCCGATAAAAAATATTACTTTTGGGTGGGTTCGGGCGGGTTTTACGGGTAAATCGGGTTAAAATTTTGATTTTATACGGGTTATATTGGGCGGGTTCGGTTTTAAATTTTTAAACCCGCTAAAAACCGAACCCAACCGAAAATGAGATAAGTTTATATTTTTATTATTTTTGTATAACTAAACAACAATGGTCCAAACTCAAAAGTCTTTATTTCAAGTATAATATAGCCATCAATTTGTAACTTTTTTTTTTCTTTTTCCCATAACTTAGATATTTCTTTTGTCTTCTCCTTCCTCATTCAATTTCTCAATACACTAGTCTACTTTTAGATTTTTCTTTTTTTTTCTTTCTTTATCTTTCTTTTCCATCTTCCTATCTCCATTTTGAGTACAACTTGTGTGACAGTGGTTTCTTATAGATTTTGTAATCTAACTTTAGATTTCTTTTGCATGTAACAACTATGAATTTTGTTATCTTTTATTTTTGCTTCTTTAGTTTGTAAATGTTTTATTTACGAATCTACTTACATCATCTATTGTTACCTTCATTCTATTTTTGTACACTGTTTTAAAAATATTTTTTTACCGTTTTAAGCTTCACCTTCGTTAAAATAACTTGGTCCACAAAAAATCTCAAACCCGATTGTACCCACCCGCCCAAATCCGAATCCGTTGCAACCCGAACCGCCTCAAATCGAAAGCTCAGTCGGTCGGATATGGGTCACATTTTTCCAAAGTCGATTTACAACGGGTTGAACATTTTTCACCCGAACCCGACCAAACCCGCCCGTTGCTCACCCTAGCGAGTGTGTGAAAATAAAGTGAAAAAAAAGTCTTCCTTGAATGTCGTGTCAAATGAGCTTGAGTTTATGATGTGTGTATAGACTTTTACTCTTGTAAAAGGAAGTTTTGAGAAGAAAAAAAAAGGCTAAAACCCTATTTTGGTCCCTTATAATCTTTTTTTGTTTCAATTTAGTCCTTCATTAATTTTTGGTCTCAAATTGGTCCCAAATTAATTAATTGGTTTCAATTTAGTCCCAAATTAATTAATTAGTTTCAATGTGGGACTTCCGTCCAAATTATTTAAACGGAGTTAACTTTTGGCCACGTGGATGCCACGTAGATGCATACGTGGCATCCACGTGGATGAGAAAATTCTTTTTAAGACACCTGGACTCGGAACGGCCCGTTCTGAAACCGGAACGGGCTGTTCTGGTTGCAAAATTAAAACACCACCAGTGAAGCAGAACGGGTTGTTCTCAAATCAGAACGGGCCGTTCTGCTTTCAAAACATGCCGTTCTGAAATCAGAACGGACCGTTCTTCTTTCAAAACGGGCCGTTCTGAAATCAGAACGGGGCGGTCTGAAATCAGAAAGGGGCGGTCT